TAATATATATCATAATATATAAATATTGATTTTTAGGTAATTCTGGCGTTGATTTTCGTTTTTCATAAAACTACTACATCCTCTCCATTCGATCACAGCTATACCGAAGTGCGCTTCCAGCTACAATTCAATGCGCTTTGCTGCCGCCAGATTTTCGATGTGCGTCCGGTTTTTTGTTTGGGCAGTTAGCGTGCAAAATTCTAGAAAACTCAGAGTGTATTTCGGCACTGAAATGGAGCCCAAAGAATTTAGGTAAAACGTCTCCATTCGAGCAGTGAGGTGTACCGACGGGCCACCCTACAGTTATCACTTCACCACAGCCATTCAAGCCCAATTATGCAAAATCCGAGTGTTTGAAAAAAAAATGAATGCGGCAAGAATTAAGGGAACTGGACTCTTAGCAGGGGGGAAGTTCTTCCTAGTGTTCCCAATGTTTTAGTAAGTTTTTGGTGCTAGAAAGTCATAAAAAGGATTTACAAATCAGAGTATTCCAATCCTTTTTCACAATTTCTAAATTTTATGAGCTTTTTAGATCTGAAAAACGGTGTGAAATCCTACAAAAAAACAACAAAAAAGTAGGTGTAGGCCCTGCAGAATTCCGGGAAAAAAGATTCGTCTTCCCCTTGCTAAAATCCGCTAAAATCCACCTCCCCTGCTAACAGTCCAGTACCCACTTCCCCCGACGGGTCGATCTCCGACACAAATTGAGCTTACTTTGTCGATACCATTTTTGCCTTTCCATAGTGATTTTTTGGAGTGTTTTTTTTTGTGGGGGAATTGAGGTTGATACTTGTACATTTTTATTTCTTCTGATGTATCAGCGAGTCCAATAAATTGTCACCTACCACCGCTCCTTCCGAGAATGACAAACAGCATTGATAAGCTTTGAAAGCTGGGATTAAATGTTGGGGGGAATTCTCACCAAGCGTCAGCCTATACGGAAAGGATTTGGGAAAACGGACACATATGAAAAGGTTTAGCTTTAGTTTCGGCTAGCGTGCCGAAGGTACGAATGACGCTAAAGGACACACTTTACTAGGTTCCTACACATTTTGCTCTCTCTCTCTCTGTCATCCGCTCTCTCCCTTTCTCTATATCTCTCTCGCGCTCTCTCGCTCTCTCTCTCATTCATTCTCTCTCTGTCTCTCTCCCTCTCTCTCTCTCTCTCACTCCGCTCTCCCACTCTCTCTGTATCTCTCTCTCTCCCTCTCTCTATATCTCTCACTCTCTCTCGCGCTCTCCCTCACTCATTTCTCTCTCTCTCTCTCTCTCTCTCTCTCTCTCGCTATCTTTCTTGCCTTGCTTTTATGCATTCCTACAACCGTGCGACTATTACAAAATGCTGATAAATGCACCGGTGCCTTTCCACCCGTTCCGTCCAGAGGAACGCTATGTACGAGTTCCTCCCCGTTCCCTTTTTCCCCCGCAAAAACCATTTGACTATCGCCGCTGATCGGCGGTGATCCTGATTTGCGACCTGCTCCTTCCTCCTCCTCCTCCGGCTCATGCTCTTGCTCATACCCTGTTCCGCCCACAACATCCCCTCGTTAATTCAATTGCGAGCTTTGGCCCGCCCTCCATGCCCCCTCAACAGAGAAATCCCTGTACCGCCACGGTTCAGGTGTGCAACGAGGCCACTTTCGAAACTGAATAATCTCATCTTGTGCACGAATTCGTGCCGTTTTTGCTGGGCGGGGCACACACAAATACAGCAGAGCACGGAATGCACAACTTTACGCAACAGGTTGGTCCTTCCAAAAACAAAGTGATGTTTGCGTTTTTCTTTGTATCATTTTCGATATCATTTATATCCGATGGCGTTTTCAAAATAGCAGGATATCCTACTATATATATTTATCCTACCTTATATAATTTGGTCGCGTATCTTTGTCTGTGTGTGTGTGCGGAGGTCAGTTTCGAGGCCCGATTTGACGGCCTTCCCGTGCATAAAATGCTCTAATTCTCCGTCACTTGGGGGAATCGACCCTTCTGTTTCCGATGACGTTCTCAGAATTTTGATAAAATAGAAGTTTACAAAGTTAAAGCCGGTTTTATTCATTTTTGGGGTCCCTCAAGGCTAATTTGCATAATGTGAAAAAAATAGAAACTTCCTCATTCTTGCCAGTTGCGCTCGCGTGTCTCAACGGTCGGGGGTCCGAAGGACCAAGCTATCGTAAAGTCAAAGTTCTCATGTAAAGGTCGCATTCCAGCGCCCAAGGCCCGCGAAGCGGGTTTTGGGCTCTGGTACATATAAAAAAAATAGTGTTTGTGTGTGTCTGTGCCACTTTGCATACAACTTCCGTCACCGTGTTCCAGTAGTATCTCAAGAAGGGAAGTACTTAGGGGTATGTTCGATACGTCATTAGGTGCGTAATGGTCAGGAGATGACTGCACGCATATGATATTTAACAAAATCACCTATTTTCACTATTAAATTTAAGTTTTTGTTGCAAAATTGGACACTCTCTTTGTTAGGAATCATTTAGCATGCGCCGGAAGTGGCGATCGCCTATATCACGGGAAACAGGAAACGATTTTCATTTTTTGCTTATCGGATTCCAGGAAAATCATGCAAAGTGGAGAATATTCTAGGGTCAGACGGGGCCAGGGTTGAAAAGTCGCGAAGCGGCTTTTCAACCCTGGTTCTTGATAAATACGAAAATTGTTTCCACCCCCCTTATTTGTTTTCCTCCCGTTAAGCAACCTTTACTCGTTTTTCATACATTATGAAATACTCAAAATTTTGCAAAAATCCTAGAAGTTTTAGCGAGCTTTTATCCTACTATATATAAAAAAATAGTGTTTGTGTGTGTGTGTGTGTGCATTTGCATGCAACTTCCGTCCGTATGTTCCAGTCGTATCTCGATAGGGGAGGAAGTTTAAGCTACGTATGATACGTCGTTAGGTGCGTAATAGTCATGACACAACTGCACGCATATGAGATTTTTAAAAATCAGCCGTTTTCGATATTAAAGGGATACGGACGGCATAGTCAATCGGTTACGCGCTGGAAAGAAATTGTCTCTGCGCCTCTCCCCAGGGCGCGCTCTCTGCCCTGTTGGCTACTTGCCAATTTGTTGATGGGGGGGATCGACACATGCCGTCGGCAGCCCTTTAAAATTAAGTTTTGGTGAAAATCTCGCTCGGCCGCTTTGTTAGGAATCAATTGGAACCGGAAGTGGGGGAAGCCTATTTAATGGGGGAGAGGACGAGCTTTCCATTTTTCTGCACAGAAATTCAGGTGTTTATGCAAAGTGACGAAGTATGGGGGAAGACGGGGGCCAGGGTTTGAAAGTCGCGAAGCGGCTTTTCAACCCTGGTATATCTGAAAACTCTTTAAAATTCCATAAAAATTGTTTCTGATTTGTGTGTAGAGCGGGGTCGAATTGCGAAAATTAGCTCCCACCCCCTGTTAAACCCCCCGCTAACAGTGGAGTATTGCAAAATCGTTTTAGCTTGAAAAAACCGTGATAGAAAATGTCTTATTTCCTCTTTTTCCGTAATAGTAATAATAACTCAGATTTCAAGTTTTTCTTTGTTGAAATCACCTCTAAAATTCCCGAGGCTAACCCAGAGAATCGAGTCCAATATATTTGGCAGGTTCCCTCTGATGTGTAGCCGAAATTTGACCCCGCGGCTGCCCTTTTTCATTTCCTCCACCCAACCGCACACGACTTCAATTCAACCCTCCCCCCATTTTCCAATCTTCGCCGCCAAAGAAGTTGAACCCGGAGGGGCCATTTCTCATTTTGGGCCGTTCATTTGATCAGCGCCAGATTTTCTGCTGATTTCAGCCGGCGGCTAGAAACTAGAGAAACTACAGTGACCGAGCGTTTAAAGAAGCACCGAAATTTGGTCCACGCCCCTCGGCGTTGATACCTGGCAAATAGCCAGATGCAACCGCAACGCCACCGCGCCGATGATCATTTGCCCTTGTTTGGACGTGAAAACGCTTGAATTCTAAAATTCTGAAACTATTTCTGTAATCCTCATCCAATTTTGACCATGTTAGACTTTTAATTATGAAAATTAACCAGTGAATCAGCGAGATCGAGAGAAGGGTGAGTCTTACAGGGCATTACGACATGTAATCGTCGCGCAAACAAAATGTCGTTTTCGCCCCCAAGAACTTTTCCGTTTTACTCAAATATTTTACGTTCTTCGTAACGAAATCACTTTTCTGGTACTTCTTGGTAGCAACCGTTTTCTTTTTGACCAGGAGGTTTAATCCCCGCATGCACGAATTTTGACTTCCGAGCCCCTTTAAGCGGCCAGAACGCCTGCACCCCATCGGGTCAACCTCTTCGCGGTTGAACTCACGTATTTCATGCTTTTTTCGCATCTAATACAAGCACTTAACGCACGTTTTTTGTTCAAAGTGCAAGCGCTGGGTTAGAAGTCCTCGTTGGACCCTGAGAAGGCCAAAAATTAGGCCAATTTCCCCCGAGCATGGCCCTCAAAATGGCGCAACCAGGGCCCGAACCGGATGTTTTGGTTCGTTTCCCACCTCGTTTTAGCGACGTATACTTAGCCTATAACTTTTCTATCTAATTACTGGCATAAACCCCTCCAATTTCCGCACAGATTTCCGCTAGCATATCCTCTAAAATCTGCGAATTTTCCCTAAAAAACGACGCATTCTTTTTTCGCTCTCTAGGATCACACTGATTTCCGCTTTCTGCCAGCCAATTTTGCAGCTAGTGCATAGTTTCCAGGGTTTAGGCACTACCTGTACGCTACGTTACGAACGGTACGTACTAAACGTTCACGGCCAAAAGGTTGAATTTTCGATGCCGAGCGCAACGATACAAGGCCATTCGATGGTTGCCTAAAAATAGGGGAAAAGAAGGGGATTGATGCCCGCGGAGGCAATCCGTTTACAACCCCGGTTTATGTTCAATGTCACGCAAAAAAGAGAGAGAATCATGAATTTCGAGTTTCAAAGGACTTCAAAATCCCATGTTTTTTCGCGTGGCAATACTAAACGTTTGCAGCTGAACATGACGATGGCTGGGGATCGAGGGGAGACGTCGCGCACGCTGTTTTCTGCCCAAATCCTCGTCTTTGTCGTCGTCGGGCTGTTTGGCAATTTGAATATACTGTATGCGACGTATCAGCACGAGCGGTTGAGGACCAAGAATGGTAGGTGGAAGCAGAAATTTTTTTTAATAGAATATGAAATTGAATTTGCCGAAAAGTATTTTGTGAAAATTTCATTTGTCGACATTTATTCGTCTTAAACATCTAGAAAATCGAAATTAGCTGGGAGAAGTAAGTTGTTACACAGTTACACGGTTTTTATATATAGAAAACTTGTCAACAATTTATCAAAACTTCCGCAGATTTTTGACTTCGTGGAAGTTTCCAGTAGCAACCAAAACTACTGAAAAAATCAGAAAAAATACTATTTATTATTAACAGTTCTATGCGGAAAAAATAAAAATTAATTTTTCCCTGCTGAAACCTCCCCCCGCTAACAGTGCAGTACCTTGAAATCTCGGCGCATTGCGGCATAATGAAACTGACCCCCCCCATAATCTCGCTATTCAGGCATTTTCCTTGCCCAACTCGCCGTGCTCCACATTATCGCCCTGGTTTTCGAGCTGAACAACGCCTACTACGAATATTTTGCGATTCCCGTGGTCAGGGATGAGTGTTTTAAGGTGAGTGTGGCAGGTGGAAGCCAAATACCTTCCGTAAATTCAGAAAATGACTCCGTTGATGCTGGTGCATGGGTGGCAGGGCTCGATGTATTTTGTGATGGCGGTCAACTTTTTGTATTCGGTCTTGAAGCCGTTAAAGTGAGTTGGTTAATGGTAATTCTCTCGCTCTCTCTCTGTCTATCTTTCCCTCTCTCTCTCTGACCGGTCTTCTCACTCTCTGTGTCTGTCTCTTTCTCTATCTCGTTTCCTAGCACTCTCTCTTTCCCTCTCACTCGCTCTCTCTCTCTGACTCGTCTCTCTCTCACTCCCTCTCTCTCTCTCTCTCTCTCTCTCTCTGTCTGTCTCCCTCTCTGTCTGTACCGTTCTCTCTCTCACTCTCTCTTTCCCTCTCACTCTCTCTTTCCCGGCCACCCGCTCTCTCTCTATGACTCGTTCTCACTCTCTCTCTCTCTCTCTCTCTCTCTATCTCTATCTCTCTCTAGCTCTTTATTTACCATAAAATTTATTGAATCTTTGAAATACACCTCATTAGATACCGCTTCATCGAGACTTATCGCTACTGCCTCTGGCTAAACCTCCCATCGATTGCGTATACGGTATGTCGGCGACAAGATTTAGAATCCGCCCAGTTCTAGTTGGCGCTCTACACGTGGTCATATTTCTCCATGAACGATGACATCATTCCGTTCTGCAACCCTCCACTCGCCTACCCGACCATCATATCAAAGTGGGACCTTTGAAGGGGTTAAAGAGATTGGGAAGGCGGCTATGTGGGCAGTTACCCCCCGCCCCCGCCGGGCGCCCCAAATTTTGTATCTTTGCTCTCTGTTGTGTTCGAAGGGTGTAAAGTATACCAAAATACTCGACAGGTCTAGACGAACATTTTGGTGTACTCTACAAGCCGTTAGCCCAACGGAGTGCCGAGATACAAACATCATTCGTTCGGTGTTTAGAGTAAATGCAATGAGCCAGCTGCTGTTGACCCTATTTGCATTTGGGTGCTTTATCGGCGCGTATGCAACGGTCAAATATAAAGGTAGGGTGGAAGCGTCGACTTCAATCAGTCGACTTGGATTTTCAGACTTGGTCGATATTGGCAAGCAGTGTCCGCCCTGTTGTTTCCAGGGAAGTCCATTGAAGAAGACGACCTGTGTCGGATGCCATGTACGAGATAGTAATAAGGTAATCTTATTATTACCGTATTTCCTCTAATACATATATCCCGGGGTTATATTTTTTCAATGACCTCGTGAGCGAGGGTTGTATTAGAAGGAGGATATATTCTTTCGTGATTTTGAGCAATTACAACGATTTTGGCAGTTCAGATTGCTCATAAAAAATTAGGAACACGGCACGAAGCTTAAACAATACCGTTTCGACCGTTGTTATTCTTAAAGGGGTTGTGAAATCTCGTCCACGGCCCCTGGGTTGATTCCTGGCAAATCGCCAGCTGCCGACGCAACGCGACCGCGCCGCATGATCTTTTGCCCCTGTTTGGATGTTCAAACGCTTGAATTTCACAATTCTTAAACGATTTCTGGAATCCTCATCCAAATTTTGACCATTCTTAGACTTTTAATTATGAAAATTTACCAGAGAATCACCGAGATCGAGACATTCGAGGCCTTACATGGCATTACGACATGTAATCGCCGCGCACACAAAATGTCGTTTTTGCCCCTAGAACTTTCGATTCTACTCAGATATTTTACGCTTTTTCGCAACGAAATCAATTTTCTGGTACTTCTCGGTAGTAACCGTTTCCTTTTTTGATCAGCAGGTTCAATCCCCGCACGCACGAATTTTGACTTCCGAGCCCCTTTAAAGGTAACTTCAAAAAATTTTTGGTGGGGTTATATTAAAGTGGGGCTATATTAGAGAAAATACGGCATCAACAAAAAATAATAATCGAAGAATGGGGGAAAACCCGAGAACTTTTGGGGGTGGGGGGGGGGGGGGGGGGGGGGGGTGGGGGGTGAGTAAAAGGGGAAAAAATTGAGAGACTTTTAAAAAAAAACCCCCCCCAAGAGTACCTTAAACCAACAACCTTCGTGGTTACAGTTTGCCCGTGCCCTCGTCCTCCTCACCGTGGTCAGCGGGTTCGCCTGGCTATGCCTGCATTTTATGGTTTTCTCGGCATATTTCTGGACGGACAATCGGCTCTACCAGGGATATATTCAGAGCTATGCAGTGGGTTCAGCAAAAATTTCTAATAGATTCGATTTCTAGGTAATCTTTGCGCTGATCTGCTACACGCAAGACTATTTCATCTTCTATTGCCGCTCGGAGCTCTACCGATCCGCGTTCCAGCTGCAGATCAACAAACTGTTGTGCTGGGAGGTCTTTGATGTAGGTGAACAAGGGATTTCCGAGCAAAAAATGGTTACACTTTACTTCCCCCCCAGCCGGACTGTTTTGGCTATAACTTTTTTATTTTACATTATTGTAGGCTCAAATTAAAACTCTTACAATATTTTTTGAAGCTGTATCGAATGGCGTTTCAATCGACAAAATAAGCGAAAATACCGAAAACTTTGAGACCCTTCGGCTGTGGGGGGGGGGGGTAAAGTAAAGTCTTAACAAAAAATGATAATCCCTGAACATAACCAGTTAGGCATGCTACTTTGACGATTGCTATTAGGTGAAGCGTCTCCATTCGACATCCGAACAACAGCGGAGGGCCAATTCCGAGAAGTTACTCGGCTCTCAACGTTCCAGCACTGCCATAACGGCATCCTCAAACTGAAGTATACCGCTTCCGATGCTTTTCCTAAACACCTGACATGGAGACCTTTTTGTGTCGTCGGGGCTTCGAGTTAGGACCAAGCCTATCTTACTGGGGAACACACCCTGACCCTGGGATAACGACAAAGTGGATCGATAGAATTGGACATGGGGATTCCGAATCTGTGCTCAGAATCTGCTAAACAAAACGGAAAAGTTATGAGGCTTCAAAGTTGGCAAAAACGTCAAAAACGGCACCTTTTGGGGCCTGTAAAAAGCGCAAAAGCGGAATTGAGCAGAAACTGATGGATGCATCTTGTTCAGCAGAAAAAAAGGCTTTCGAATAAATACGTATGATTTGCAAATAATTCATCGAAAAAATGTTTTTGAATTCACGGGCAAGGATCAAATGGATTTCCGCCAAAATCATGGTAAACATTACGCCTTATAGCTCATTCGAAAGCGTTTTTTCTGCTGAATAAGATGCTCCAATGGGTTGTTGCTGAATTCCATTGCCCGGCCCTTAAAGGTACCGATTTTGGCGATTTTGCCAACTTTGAAGCATCATAAGTTTTTCCCCGTTTTATTTAGCAGATTCTGAGTACAGATTCGGAATCCCCGTCTCCGATGCTATCGGCTCCACTTGCGGCTACTCCAGCGTTAAATTCTGCACAAGCCAAACTTGGTCCCAACTTAAAACCCCGACGACACAAGAAAAACGCCTCGTGGTTATGGAAGAATCGTTATTTCATCTTACCGTAAGATCATTCATTTCCTCAAGAGACCCGGCAAGAAGACCCGCAATTGTCGATTTGTCAACGATCAGACTTAGAATCCATCTTTTCCCAGACGTATTACTCCCACCCTCACTTGATCTCCATTCTAAGAGCTCTGTTATTTTTGTTGCGAGCTTCCCCCGAACCGATTCCGCCCGTTGTTTTGTTCTGACAGCTGATGTAAACGAATTTATGTACAACACAAAAAGCACGAGGGCTACCCGTAGTTGGCGAGGTGTGGCTGGGGTGGGGAAGTGACAAGCAGAAACTGGGCTTAAGGCAAAATGGAAGAAACATGGAAGAAGAGGACCCGAAAGTTTGAATCTTCGTTTTTACAGGGTTTGGTTGAAGGCCCGCAGGAAGAAGAAGGCACGGAGGTAGGCATAGAGAAATAACACTTGGATGGCAACGATCACACAGACGCTGGCTCTGAAAATTTTCGATAAAATGAGCTTAGGCAGAGGGTTAGGTTATGCTTTGCTTGGGCTTAGGTTAAGGCTTAGCTTATGGTTAGGCTTAGGCTTTGCTTAGGCTTAGGAGTCGGCGTAGGTTATGGCTAGGCTCAAGCTATGCTTAGGATTAGGCGTTGGCTCAGGTTTCGCTTAGGCTTAGGCTTAGGCTTAGGCCAGGCTTTGCTTGGGCTTAGGCTAGGGCTTAGGCTTAGGTTATGCTTTGCTTGGGCATAGGCTAAGGCTTAGGATTAGGCGTAGGCTTAGGTTATGCTTAGGTTCGGCGTAGACTTAGGCTTAGGCTTAAGCTTCGCGTCTGGAGCCATCGCTGGGCTTTCCACAAGAGTCTCTGCCCGCTTGCCAACCCTCACCTTATCGCGATAGCTTCGCCCATCTTCGCTCCACTCCTATCGACACTTGCCACAGACGTTTTCTGATTGATATCGTTTACCTCGCTGGGTAATGTCAAGATTGTTGCGATGAGGGCACCTAAATGACCCGCTTTGTATTAATACATCGTTAGAAAGGACTTACCAATCAAAGCGACGAGAAGGAGGAGGGTGGCAAGGATAAATGGTAGCAGGGCGAGATGTTTTCTCGTGAATAGACCCCATTGGAAACAGGCAAAGCAGAAAAGAAGTAGACACGGCGGTACGATCACCCCTGAAAATGGTCAATAGGGGATTGGTTTTTCACTTCTCTCTCTATTTTCTGTCTCTCTCTCTCTCTCTCCCCTCCCTCTCTCCGTCTCTCGCTCTCTCCCCCTCTCTCTACCGCTCGCTTTCTCTCTCTCTCTCTCTCTTTCTCTCTCTCTCCTCTCTGCTCTCTAATAATATTTGAATCCTCATCTCAATCCAACACCAACCAATAAGTTTCCCGGTGGAAAGCGGATTTTGTTTGGAGGAGTCGTTGATCAATCTGAAGGTCAAATACCCGCAGAACCCGAGAATAGCCACCATCGTTAGGCACGAGCCAATGATCGACGCTGAAATTCAACATTACAGAAACAGCGACTTGCAAAATGTCACCTGTCCGTGCCGTAATGCAACATATACGGGCCTCCCGCAACTTCGGGGGTCTGGGTGGAGTGTCGGTGGCAAGTTGACTGCTTAGACACGAGATTTTTGTCGAGGTGAAATCTGGAAAGGGATTCGAAATCATACGCTTCTACAGGGTGTCCCAAAAACGCGCCCCTTGGAATTTGGCCCTGTTTTACGCGGTCGATCCAAAAATTGGGCGAGAGGCGTATCAGAGCCTAAATAACAACGGTCCTGACTTACAGCTCCAGTAGTTCTCGAGTTAAAGCCAAAAAAAAATTCCTGGCCCCGGGCCGGCCCCATTTTACTTAGGAATCTCGACACCCGGTTGTCGTAGGGGCCTGTAAATTGTATACCAAAAATACTCGCTCTAGGCGGCCCGGAAAAAGTTGGGGTCGGCTGGTGCCTACGCTATTCGAAACCCTTGAAAATAGTCGTTTGCAAAGTTTATTCAGTGCGATCTCCAAGCCATGAAAACCCCAACAGCTCAAGCATCCATGGTCTATTGGGGCCGTAAAAACTGTTAAATTGTCGTAGTTTTAACGTTTTTGACATAAAAATGTCCTGGGATGAAGCGGATCATCTTCACGAGCAACTTAGAGCGTGGATTTCCGCTAAAACCCCATGAAAGACATAAAATAATGTTTATTTTGGTTATAACTCTAAATCTACTATAGCTATGGGGTTTTTAGTCAAGATTGTGGTTATTTAGTGGTTTTGCGATCGATCGGATGAAAGCGGCCAAATGCCAAAAGTGGTTTTTAGACACCAGGCATCTTGAAATTTCGCGGTCAGTGACAGGCCGCTCCGCGACACGCAACGCACCCGAGTGAGTACCGTGCGCGTTATGTGTCGCCAATCCGACAAAAACCACAGGGAATCCATGGTCTGACCAATTCCTCAAAATACCTACCCTTTTTCTTCTCATTTTTAAACTTTCGATCGTCGGGCAAATGGATGAAATTTCCGTCGCAGGAGAGGAAATCTGTGCTCGACATTGCTGAAAAAAAGACATATACGCCGGTTTTTTAAGGAAATTCCAGCATAAATCAATAGTATCGAAGCGAAATTCAAAATGCCCCGCCGGGACACCATAAAATCAGAATGAGGTGTGCCGTGTGCAATCGGGGGGATTCGGACCGGAAACAGGTGAAAAACAAAAACAAATTAAACTCAATTCAACGGGTTAGGGTTGCAAGTACATTTTTAGGGCATTTTTTGGGGTCATAAGTACCGAATCGCCATGTTTGAGCGGGCATAGAAATGTGATAATTTTCGGACGCCGCAATATGCATGCAAAAAAGAGAGAGCAAGATGGGGGGTCAATGAAATGTATGCGGGAATAATTGGATGGTTCGCTGTTTGTAGATTCATAGCCTGGAGGAAAGGACCGAAGGGCCAACAATACACATACATCCAAACAGGTGAATATCGATGGGCTTAGGCTCGGATTAGGCTAGGCTTATGCCTATGGGCTTAGCTTAAGTTTGGTCTTGATCTTGGTCAGACTTAGGCTTCGGCTAAGGCTTACGCTTAAGCTTAGGCGGGCATTGGGCTTAAGCTAGGCTTAGGTTAGGCTTAGGCTCAGGTTTGGGTTAGGCTTAGGCTTAGGTCAGGCTTAGGTTAGGCTTAAGCTTAGGCTTTGGTTAGACTTGGGCTTATGTTAGGTTTAGGCTTAGGCTTAAGCTTAGGCGTAGGTTAGGCTTGACTTAGGCTTATGATTAGGCTTATGATTCGTTAAGCTTGGGCTTAGTCCTAAGTTCAGGCGTAGACTTAGGTTGTGGTATGCTCAAGTAGCGTTCTTGGCAAGTTCAACCCGATGTTTTCAGCGTCATTTCTGGCAAATAAGCTGCGGGCAGCCGCCGTTTTGGCAGCTGCAAATTTCCAGGGAGCCACCACCCCTATTTCCGCTAGAAAATTCTAATTACTGGCAGAGTGGGGCAGCAGGGTAGAGTGATATTACGAGCGATCAGACCAAATATTAAACAAAAAGCTGTGTTCCGCGATTTTAAAGCGCCCTACTACCCCCCGGGGCAATCCGTAGTGGTCGTGCGGAAAATTGGGGGGCCCCTTGCTTCAAGGATTGGGCCCTTATGCTGCTGTGTCCCCAGCTAGGGCCATTTCCGTTTTGACGCCCCAGAATTTGGGTGGGCGAAAAGGGAAGAAGGAAGAAAAATAGGGCTGTAGAAATGAACAAATGTACCGTGGAGCAATGAACGAAACGAAGAAGCTAGAGTTTTATTCAGTGCGCCGAATTTTGATTGGTTGGGAAGTACTTCTTGCTGTCTTTCCCTCACTCTCTCTATCACTCACTATCTCTCTCTCTTTCGCTCTCTCACTCTCTCTCTCTCTATCTCTCGTACTCTCCCTCTCTCTGTCGCTCTCTCTATCTCGCTCTCCCTATCGCTCGCCCTCTCTATCTATCGAACTCTCTCTCTCTCTGCTCTCTCTCTCTCTCTGAAATAATACTCATACTCCGCCGAATTCGCCCCCATAATCCAAATGACCTCGAGGTGAACGTACGGAAAACGTTTTTACGAGGGCAAGAGGGCCCGGATGATTGGACAAATATTCGAAAAACGAATCAAATATTAGCGGAGACAGGGAGATGGGGCTGGGAATGGCTGAGGGGGGAATGGTTTGTCGACAAGCTTATGGGAAGACCAGTATCAAGGAGAATCGGGAACCGTTTTTGCCTGTGTCTTTCTCTCTCTCTCTCGCTCTCTCTCTCTCGTCTTGCTCAGACAAGTGCTTTTA